GTAGGTCGCCACATNGGTGGTTGGGCTGCTGGTACCTATCTGGCGGTCTGGATAGGCCCCTGAGGTGGAAAACCTGGACAATGCATCCGAATATANAACACTAAAATTTCTATTTTACCCATCCGAATCGGCTATTAATGAAGTTTTGCGATGTTTGCAAATAAAAGGTAATAAAGGGTGTTTATTAAATCTTTTTATACTTAGTTGACGCCTAAAAGTACTCATTGTTCTTCTATTTTGATTTAGGCTGCAGATGGAGACATTAAATGCAAAACGAAGCTAATNAAAGTCGTTGTCCACCTGTCTGGTCTGGGCGACGGTATGGTGTCGGTCTCTATGCCCCACTAGTGCTAGCACCCGTCCGGATCAGACCTCCTCTCGAGAAACCTNAAAACGAAGCTAATTGGACTATTTCGGCATCGTTTCGTTATCTGAGCATAACTCTCTCATCTAAGCTCCGATTAAAATGATTCAAGATGCTATGGAATGATACGAATGAACTCTAAAACTTTCATGTTTTGAGGTTTGAGAGATATTGACTACATCAAGGTCTAAATCGAGCTTGAAGTTGTAGCAGTGCACTGTTCACATGCACTGTTCACAGCCCGTCTTCGTCTCTTTTCTATTTTCAATCCATTCCTAAGCCAACCAAATTCATCTCAAACCTCTCCAACACATATTTCTACACCAAACCTATTTAATACAAGTTCTAGAACCTAAAATTTCATATTTTCACTTATTAAAACCAAATTTCAATTATTATTTTCACTAACATTTTAAATCTCTACTTTNTCCTCGGCAACTCCCATGTCGTCACAGATCTTCTTCACTCGGCGGATCCATCTATCCACCTCCAAAGGATTGGACCTCCCTTGAAAATTGGGTGGTCGTTGTCTTAAGAATTCCTGAAGAGCTATCATCCTTTGGTCTCCGTTCCCATTGCCCGGTACTTGAGTGAGAGGATGAGCTCCACCATTGTGGTTGTTGTTACCATTTTGGTTTTGTACCAAAGTGGTGAGCTCTCTCAAGCATTGGTAAATG